TTTGAGGTTGCTGTGAGCTAGGCTGATGCCACGACACTCTACCCTGGGCAATGGAGTGAGACTCTGTCTCAAAAAAAAAAAAAAAAAATACCAGAACCACAATGGGTCTGAGACTTTCTAATGCAATTAGTGAAATTTCAAATTTGAAAATCAAAATGTAGAAGCACACAGATCTTGCTTATGTACTCACGGGCTCCTTGAATAGCTTCCAGCATCAAATCTACCAGCTGCTCATGGATGTTTTGGTCAACGTAGATCTCTGGGGTGAGGAGAACTGTTCGGGTATTGGATACAGTGAGATTCCTACACTGCACTGCAAAGGGTAGCAGGTTCTCTGGAACTTTGGTAATCTGCAAAGAGCACGAAGAAGAGAGAGAAGAGCCTACCTCTATAACCTGAAACAAGGGTAGACACAGTGAAATGCATGGAAGAGACATTGGATGCCAAAATAATACTCATCTTCTGTGGAATTCATGAGAGATTCATTCTTGGCTTAAGGAATAACCTACCCGTTAAAATTCCAATCCTGGAAATGTCAGGCTTAGCGTACTCTAATATTTATACCTCAGTGGAAATGAATTTATGAGACCTTTTCTAAGGGTGTGATTTATAAAGAAGTTTGTAGAGAGACTACTGGGCACTGATTAATTGGTGAGGGGGTGGACCCCAAGCCATAGAAAGGAGACTAAAGCTTTAGAAGACAAACTAACAGTGCCTTTGATATCTAGTTCCAAACATACTATAATGTATATAAGTTGATATAAAATACATTGATACAACTCTGGCTTACATGCTAAAGTCATACCCAAGAGGACAATATAGTATTCAATGAGGATTATTCCTTTACCTCTTCCTTGGCTCTTTGGAAGCAGGAGTAAAGGTAGCAAAAAATGTGCCTCTCCCCTGCATCTCGATCAGCAGAGAGATTTAACGTTGTAGAAGAGGTCATGTTAATCAAGTGATTGCCTGGATCTTGAAGTAATAAGCGAGCGAAGAGGGCCTATTAAGAAAAACAAACAAACAAAAAGCTAACCATTTCAAAATTAATCTTAGAACATTAAGATATAAAAGATAATTCTGACAGAGGTTAGTGCAAGAATCACAGACTTAGATACAGAGTGAAGTAGGGAAAAAAGGACCCAGTGTCTTATTACTTTAGAAAATATTAGAAAATTAGTGTATATATAAAGTTATCCTAAATCAAGCCGAGTGTCTAGCATAGCTCCAGTACAGAATACGCACTAAAGGACTATTTGTTGAATGGTGCTGAGAATCAGTGATTAAACTTCTATATGAAATCTACTATTCTGTGTGATTGCTGACCTCATTTACACTTAATAAACCACAAGTTGTCAAATGTCTTCCCTACCAAACTTATTCCTTTAATGTTAATCAGGCATCCATAAGGCAAAACACATTGTTTTGATTTTGGAAAGTCCTATGGTTTGAATATTTGTCCCCTCCAAAGCTCATGTTGAAATTTGATCCCCAACGTGTTGGTGTGGCCTAGTGGGAGGTGTTTGGGTGGTGGGGGTGGATCTGTCATGAATGGCTTGGTGCTGTTCTTGCAGCAGTGAGTGCTCACTTGAGAGACTGGACTAGCTCTCAAGGGAATGGATTAGATCCCTCCAGAGTGGGTTGTTACAAAGCCAGGATGCCTCTCAGGTTTTCCCCTCCTCAGTGTCTGCTTCCCCTGTGACTTTCTCCACTGTGTTGTGACACAGCATGAAAGTCCTCACCTGAAGCCAGGGCCATGCCCTTCAACTTCACAGCCTGCAGAACCATGAGCTAAATAAACCCCTTTTCTTTAAAATTACCATCTCAGGTATTCTTTTATAGCAACACAATGGACTAAGACAGAAAGGATATGAAGAAGAAAAAGAGATGGGCCTTGCTCTCAAGAACTTAAGTGTCTAATAGAAGAGATAAGACAGGTACATAAAAAAGCTACAACATGAGACAGAAGGTGACAATATCCATAAGAGATGCATAGACAGATGACTCTAGGAACTCAGAGAAGGGAATAACAACTCTTATGTGGCAAAGTTTTGTACATAAGATGGCATTTTAACTGGTTCTTAGAGGATGGATAGATTTGGACATCTGGCCATAGTAGATGAGAAGATTTCAAAAGAGGAACACCACAAATAATGTAAGAGATGGACTTAAGTGAAGCTGGAGAATGATGAGCAGAGTTCAGCTACATGGCTAACTTCTGCTAAGGGCACATGTCAGGAACATAAAATGGTACCTGCTCAACATTGTTCATATCAAGCCAATCTTGATCTTCCAGCTCTACTGCCATTTCTTCCAAATATACACATCGGCTGGGGATGCCATTCCCACTTTTCAAGCTTGGATCACCTGGGAAATGGTTTTAATCTGACAGGTTAAGGATAATGTTTCTGTCTTATACAGACAACTGATGTTGACAGCATTTTTCTTGAACTCCAAGTTTGACTTAGGCAATATCAGAATGATCCTGATACACAAAACAGCATCTAAAGATTTAAATCTTTGTTCCCCCCTAGGCCCAGAGAATGGGCTTTATTATAAATCCAACATCATGACACTGAAAGAGTAAATCACATTCATCAGTAATAACTTTGGGGTTTAACCACAGAGGGAAAACACCTCTCACAACTTCTATGGGAATATCTGGGTCACCTCTGAGAAGAAAAGGGTTTGGCTACCATTCCCATTTCACTTTTAAGGTAGTAAAGGCAAGTAGCTATGTGGTGCAGTCAATACCAAAATGGGAACGAAAGTTACATCCGTATCTAACTATTGTTTTTAGGTCACAGCAAAAGCTTCACTGAAATATAAAACCTGTGTTCTAGAGAGTCCAGTGAGTGGGTTTGCATCTAATCATTAGACATAATAGGTTTCTATTAAGTCTAATGATTACAGCAGGTGTCTAGCCCAAGCCGAAGTAGGAAGAGCTGAATAATGAATAGATTGGCTACAAGTCTATAACTTACTGTTATCCAGAGTAATGAGGAAGATCCTTTGGATCATGTGATTGATGTTGAGTTGCTCACATATTTCCTGCTGCGACCGGAATGAGCGGCTAATTTCAGCCACAGAGTAATCAAATTCATCCAGGCTCTCTGATACACTGTTATCCGAGTCATCTGGGCTAGCTGGAAGTTCATCTGCCAGAAAATGTAAACTGTTAAATGTTATACGTCTCTCTTTAAGAGAGAACCAGTATACTATCAAAAATGATCAATGTAACCAAGAGGAGGATAATTTCAGATGTGAAATAAGTTAATCATCTAATTAGTGAACAAATCAAGTCAAGGAAGTTAAGCATAGGTTTTGAAATCTCTGGCTACAGATCCTACTACATTTTATAAAGCAAAAGTTTTATTATTTCTACCCATAATTACATTTCACACTGCCAAAAATAGCAACATTATCTTCTCTACAGAATTTTAGTGAACAAAGAATTACCTAAGAGATCAAAGTGCATTTAATTATTCTAAATGTATAGCTTTTTTCTGATTTCAAGAGATCACATTTATTTTTAATAATTCCAAACTATACAGGAAAATATAGTGTAGAAAGTCTCTCCTGAACCAATTCACTAAAGACAACCACTTAACTTAGCAGTGTTCCAGATTTTTTTCCTATTCTGGTGCTAACGTTCATTACTATAATCTTTAATTTTTTTGAAAAATGGGATCATATTATACACAGCGCTTTTCTGTTTGCCTTTTAACCTAATCAGCACCAATACCTTTCTGGGTTAGGCCATTTAGAGGCCTACCTCGTTCCTTTCTTTTCTTTCTTTTTCACGTCTTGGACAATAGTTCATATCTCATTCTTCTCAATAGCTGCACTGGACTGCATCTTTTGTGTGCACTGTGATTTTTGTAGCTACTTCTCAACTGATGAACAACAGGGTTGTTTCTAATTTTTCATGATTTTAAATACTGTACCGAATATAACTTATTGTTCACTTCTTTGAGTGTTTCTGTAGGATAAATTCGTAGAAGCAGAACTGTTGGGTGAAAGAATTTGAAAATTTAAAAAGTTAACATTTACTACCAAATTACCCTAAGAAAGACTGCTCTGTGTGCTAACCCAAAAGTATATGAGTGGGTACCTGTTTAAATTCACACATTTCATAGGTGAAAAACTGAATTTTTTTTTGAGACAAGGTCTTGCTATGTAGCCCAGGCTGGAGTATAGTGGCATGACCATAGCCCAAGTGATGGCCTCAAGTGATGCTCCCACCTCAGCCTCCTGAGTAGCTGGGACAATAGGCAAGCGCCACAATGCCCAGATCTAATTGTTGTTTTAATTGGTATTTCTCTAATGATTGGTGAGACTAGATTTCTTAAATCATTTGATTATCATATATAAGTTGCCATCACATCTTTTGTTCTTTTTTTATTCTCTCTGGTTTGTTAGTTTTTATTGACTGAATCCCTTTCACTTTTTATAAAGCAACTTCAGAGTGTCTCTCAGAATGGCAGTCATGCTGGATAACTATAAAAGTAGTGCTATTTACCAAAAGCCACATAGGAGTCTATATCTACTTTTCTCTACCAACAGAATGGTTATTCTGAAAGTCCAGGAAAAACTCTCAGAAGTAAGAGTTGCTTCAGTGTGGTGAGTTTAGTAAAAGTGAAGCTCAGTATTGGAGGCCAAAGGTTTTTGGCAGAATACTAGTTGCTGATGGCAAACAGGTTGGACCTGGTGGCATGATAAACTCAGTGTAAACAAACCAGGATGAGGAGGTGCCAAAATAGTAACAGAAAGGCATGTGCCTGACTTGTCCCCTCTGCTTGGTGTCTGCAATGCTCCCAACTCTGGCCAGCCTATGTCTGTTTACAGCCAGAAGGACAAGTGTTCTGTTACCCAGCTCCTATACTGTTAAGTTCTCCTCTAAACTCCTACAGTGATAGAAGCTAAGAATCTTTTTAGTAAAATTTCCCTCAGCCACATACTCATAAATTATACTTTCCATTGCCTTATTTTTCATATTTTTCACTCATCTTTCTCTCCTACAATCTCCTAATTCAAGATTTCCTGTTCTGAGCCTGTATAATAGAAATCTAGGAGAGATTTCAGAGACTCAGAAAACTCATGTTAAAAAGTCAGCATTGCATTTATTTTTCACTTGCTTCATCCATCACCTTGTCTACCACTCATCTGTCTTGCCTTTACTTCCTTTTTATTCAATCCTAATCAAAAAGCAAGGCCACAAATTAGCTATGTATCTGAATGGGTTTATTTTTGGCATTTCTCCTTTTCTCAAAAGAAAAACACTATTATTCTTTTTGGAGAAAGGAGAATGGGAGCAATTTCTGGTTTGAGAGATTGTGAATATCCTCAGAAGACTAATACATTTGAGAAACCTCTCTCTAATTTTTCTAATCTATGTCTCCTGACAGAAGGAAGCTGGACTTAATCTTAAATTCGGTCCCAGATAAGGAAAACCACTCTGCTGATTAGTGAGGTATTATTCTGATTTTTTTTCCATTAAGGCTAAAAATCTGATCGATTTTTTTAAAAAGTCTGCCCTAACAGCAGTAAACTACAAAAGAGGCCTCCCAGTGGAACAGAAGCAGCACTTCACTTGAGAGGGCCTTTGAAGTGCTAAGCTTAAGAACAAATCTCATTTGCCTACAGGTCAAAAAGCTTTTCTAATTCCTCCTTTTACATCTGGTTTCTATAGCTGCTTTCCACACCTATACCTACCACTTCAGTTTCCTATGTTAAAAAGATTTATTTAAATAGTTTTTACTAGGTTATTTTTTTTAAAAAAAAATAAAACAGCTTGACAGCTTTGGGATCACGACTGGCATCTGTTACTATGAAACCACCTGTTATCTGATCTTTTTTTTTATGTAAGGGGGAGGACAGGGGAGGGGAGGACCCCAAAATAAAAACCAACACAAAAATCGACTTCTGCCCCAAACTTACATTCCATTTGCAATTAAGGACTCAAAGGATACTTAATTTGGAAAGACCCCTTTCTAGGTCATCTAATCTGCTGTTACTGGCTCCTCCACTTACCAGATTGTTGCTTCAGCTGCTCTTTTTGGATTGCTGCAAACTGCTTGGCATCAGCCAGGGAGCCAAAAAGAGCAGCAAAGGGGTTACTTGAGATGTTGTTGTTATTCTCCTGGTCTGTCATTTCACTTTAAGGTATCCTCCATCCAGACCTAGGGGGAGTGGCTATACAAAGGACAGGTATTAGACATAGAAGGGCAGATAACACAATAGCTGTAATATGCCCATAGTTGTTCCTTTTTCCATTTTTAAGTACTTTCCAATTCCTATCCCAAACCTCAAGACATTTTTGGCAAAATGGTTACAAACCTACCAACTGGACACAGTGGCCCGATTTGGGGACAGCTAAAACTAAAAAGCCTAAAATATGTTCAGCTGGAATGCATTTATCTGTTGACATGTTTCTATCTTCTATACATTTAAAAAACTATGCTAAGTAGGAAGAATTACTGAAGTTAAGGAGAGAACTCACCTACTAATTGTAACAACAAAAAATGTGACACTTAAAAATAATAAGACAAGAACTATAGATTTCCCATAAATCACTAAGCTGGCAGAGTAGTTCTCATTCTCTGTGGGGAGGACAAGGTGGTCCTTATTCAGACTTCTATGACTTAGGGCTGGAGCTAGAAATTCCTCAGCTACATATAAACTAAATGAAAGCCCGTATCTTAGATTTGGAAGGCAAATTAGGCTTTATGTTGTGGGTTTTCAATATCTATTAAGCAATCTGTCTATTCATAGGATTAAAACTACTGATATTTCTTCCATTAAAAACTAAACAGTCTTTGCTTAATTCTATAACTTTCACTGTTTCTGATTTTTTAATACTGAAGAAACACAAATTCTCAATCTCAGGCCTACTGTGTAGTATGAAATAAATATATACCTCAAAGGTATTTAGTAGAGCTGACTGAGCCTGCATTTGCACTCTTCTGATTACATTTCCTCATTCGAGGCCAAGTGAATTCAGTGGCATAACGGAATAAGCAGAGCCCCCTGAAAGGCCTTCTCCCCTTTCTGAAATTTTAAGGCCACGGCATAGAAATACAACCTTGAAAAGGGTGGGAAGAGACAAACAGTATGAATATTCTGCTTATAAGGGCGTTGAATTGTTACAAGGACAGAGGCCTTAGAAAGATTGGGGGAATGGATACAAGGGAAGAAGAAAAAAAGAATACTTGGTCTACCTTTAGTTTACTAAGGTAAGACTCCTTACAGAATCATGTTAACAAAAGCTAACACAAGTCGAAAAAGTTATTCTATTTACTGGAGGAAGAGAGATTATAACACTTCTTGACAATTCTGAGGCATCTCCACCAGTTGCTTCAGCCTCCTCTGCATATGTTTTCTGCATAACAGCTAATGGCTAATTAGCTGTAATGACTTAGGCAGACAGTCTAATCTCCCAGCATGGTGCAGAGCTTTAATGCTTCAAAGAATTGAACTGTTAGATGTTGCTCTATGTATTTTATTTTTTGCTATGTATATTTTAATCAAGCTTAATAATGCCAAAAAGGGAAAGATATCGAATTTAGTGTTGGCATTAATAACCATGAGAGGGTTTGAGAGGGCTTTTCTCCATGTTACCACCGCATCAGCATCATTATAACTCCTAATTAATGTAGGGGCACCAAGAATTGTCTCATTGTTAGCTGACCACCATTCTACTTCCATCCTAAGATACCTTGAATTCCAGACGTATGCAAAAAGTGTAGTGAGCTCTTATTATTTTCTGTTTCCGCATCATCCTCTTTTTTCAACATGATACCCCAATTTTTCCTCTGAGTATCCATTGCACTTAGCCCATATGGTCAGAAGGGGTTGAGCTCACCCACTAGCTCCAGGTATGGGCATATGAGTCCGGCCTGGCTAAAAAGAATACAGCATTTTCTGGCCAAAGTGACTGATCCAGGTGTGGGCACAAGGCACTATGGAGGCCTAACAAAGTCAATGAATACCAGCTTCAGCCTGTGGCTGAATCTACAGAAAATGGAGCTTTTTTTCTGCTTGGGTTGCTAGGCTGGTAAGATATAAACCTAGAGTTGCTATCTTTACACCATTTAGAAAAGGTCTAGCCTAAAAGTAAGCCAACATATAGAAAAACAGAGTTGAGAGACAGAAAGAGAAAGTCTTCTGGACTTTTCAGTTATAAAACCTAATAAATTCCCCTAAATTGCATAAGCCAAACAACTGAAAAGAGTACAGATTATTACAAAGGACACATGTCACCTGTACCACACAAGCAGAAAGGAAGTTGAAAGACAGGAATATAGGACATATGATATAGAGAGGCTCTTAAGATTATCGAGACAAAGAATTTATTACCATAAATGGCATTATTTCCTCCTTTCTCAATTCTATACTGTGACACTATATAAAGAAGCTAGCTTCCTATGACATTTATTTTTACTAGGATTTTAAACTTTCTACATCGTATTTCTAAGCAGATCTTCTACCTTGCTAGACCGTATGTTGAGTACATGTTCATATCTGATTCTTTCTCCTGCATCTGACATTATATATCGCAATCACAAAATCCTAAATATTTATTGAATGACTCAATCTTACATGTAGTTTATTCATGAACTACTTGTAATCAATGGTATTACCCATGATCATACTTCAAAGTAAGGGCTTTACTACTTGTCTTGGGTTGCCGTGGAAGGTCAAGCTACCAGGCCAGACACTGTGGCTCTTTGGACTTAGCCAGAAAGAACTACTTTCTGAGATGAATCAAAGAAAAATAATATTTTTTTTAAAGATGATAAAACTTGGACTAGCCACGGGGGCTGTGGCTCTTTGGTATCTCAGCATAGAATATAGAATGGAAATAAATCTCTGCTGTCATCTCTACTGTCTGTGAAAAACAAAAACATTTTCAACTACCTTTCACTAAGCTCATCTTTTTCATATGTATTTCAAATCTGTGCACAAACTATTTTCACAGAAAACAGGCTAAAAGTATGTAGTTACTTATAGAAAAGATTTACAGGAGAAAGGAGGACTGACCACTTGATGAGAAGCTCTGTAGAGATGCCAGTTTATATTTGTTCATTGTACTTACAAATGTAAATAAGAGTACTCAGATACAACCCACTCTGAAAGAAAGGTCTGATAAAATGGAAACTTGATACTGTTTGTTTTAGTATTCAACAGTGTCACTGGGGATTTATTATCTCCTATTTTCAACTGCCCTACAGAGATATAACACTATCCTTTTGTCAGCCTTTGAGATGGTACAATCACCAATCCTTCGAAGCTTTTTGAATATGTCCTCCTTGGAAATAAGTTTCACTCTGGTGTACCTGCTGCAAGAATCTGCAACAGCCATCCTAGGAAATTCTCTCCCCCTCCCTTGATTCAAGCTTTTGTTTACGAATAGTACTGCCAATCCTTTAAGGTCTATTGTTGGCTCTCGTGAGCACACAAACGTTTTAACATCAGACTTGGTATAGTTTTTAAGCAGAAATATCTGGAACACTTCATAAAACTGGGATTGTTAAAATCAAGCTCTATCAAATCATACTCTGTCCTGGTGAGCAATACATACATCAAACAAAAATAGGAATTAAACAAATGTTTTCACTGCCACATGTTTCACCCAATACTTTGAGGCCATGCTAATGTGGCAACGAATTCCTTCAACACATCTATTTGCAAGCTAGAAGGATCTCATCAAGTCAAAAAGCAGGCAGCATTAATTCTTGGTTTCCATTTTATCTTAGGTGGGCTCCCACGTGGAGCCAAAACATTCAGTGACAGTGAAACTAAACACATCCTTGCTTTCACAGTAAAAAACTGATCCCAAAGGGAAGACTCATCAAATATTAGCCCTCTGAGCTGTGGTCACTCAATTTTAGAAGTGTTTTCGAAACCCTAGTTAAAAACGGGGCAGAGTGCCAGGAAAGTTATGAGTGGTGAATACGGGTCACGTGCCTTAAGAAATGTCAACACTTTGACATATGCATTCACTGGTTTGATTATTAAGAATCGTGATTAATTTTATCTTCTTGGCATCTAGCTATCTGTCGACTACCCTTAATATTTTATCCTTCCATGTTCCATAAGGGATTCGCAGGAAGGAGACCCACCCGCCAGGCACACGTTCTAGAGAAAGGAAGTCAAAAGATAACGCAAGGACAGTATTCCGGCCTTTGCCAGAGGGGTTTGGCAAAGTGGGGGCGAGAAATGTACAAAGAGACACCAGAAGCTGGGGCACTGTAAGGGGTTCCAAATCAGACAGGGTCAAAGTTCATGAAGGAAAGGGTTCCTAGTCAAGAAAGCACAGGAGAAAGAATTTGGAGGAGGTAAGAGTGCAGACGCCTGGACTGGGGGAAATATCCCACTGCAGATTCAACGACCCCTCCCCTCGAGCTGTTTCCTCTCTTACCAGAGCCTACAGGGCCAGCAGCGACGACACGACAAAGTCTCAGTGGCCGAAAGGTTCCCACTTCCGACTCAGCACGGCAACCGGAGCTTACGTCATCACCTAGAGCCCAAGCTTGTGGCAGCTAATCTCCGCGCCGGAAGCAGGATGTGTCGGCTCGAGCTTGCTACTGGCGCGCAAACTCCCCCGCGGCGCATGCGCCAGTTTACTTGAAGTAGGCTGGGGGCTGGGCAGAGGTGGCAGGAAGTGGCCTTGGGGTCGGATTTGGGGGCAGAGGTGAGGTCTGCCTGATTGTTAGGTTTGGAACTTAGTGGAACATAAAGCTGGGTCTTGGAAACCTGTGTGTCAGAGTATGGAGGGTAGATACAACTTTTTGATCCGTGGCTCTTCTCGCACCTTCTGTTTGCTTCTGCTTTCTATTTTTCCCGCCAGTCTTATACCTTTTTGAAGCAGCATCTGTTACTCTTCGTAGATTATTATTATCTAAGAAGCAATAACAATAACTAAACGGTTTGAGAACGTATTAGGTGCGGGGCAATGTGGATCTTTGGATTTCAATTTTCTTTTCTGTAAAGTGGAGACAGTATACATCCTACAAGTTTGTTTTGAGGTACACAGAAGTAATAGAAGCAGCATATTTTTCAACAGTTAAGAGCACTGAGCAAGTGAAAAGACAATTCACAGAATGAGAGAAAATATTTGCCAGTCATATGTCTGATAAAGGATTACTATCCAGAATATACAGAGAACTCCCACAACTCAACAACAAAACCCACAAATAATTCAATTCAAAAAAGGGCAAAAGAGTTAAACAGACATTTCCCAAAAAACAAAAACAAAAAACAGTCATTCCCTCAGTATCCCTTGGGGATTTGCTCCAGGATCCTCTTGGATACCAAAATCCACAGATGCTTGAGTCCTTCTATTAATATAAAATGGTGTAGTAGTTGCATATAACCAACACACATCCTCTTGTATACTTTAAATCATCTCTAGGTTACTTATAATGCCTAATACAATGTAAATAGTTGTATTGCTTAGGGAATAATGACTATAAGAAGGGCTGTATGTGTTTAGTATAGATGCAGTGTTTTTTCCAAATATTTTTCGACCCATGGTTGAATCCACAAATGCAGAGGGCTGACTGTACAAACAAATGGCCAATAAGCCCAAGAAAGGATGCTCAATATCAGTAGTCATTAGAGAAATGACAATCAAATCATAGTGAGATACCACCTCACACCTACTAGGATGGCTATTATCAAAAAAAGGGAAAATAATTGTTGGTGAGGATGTGGACAAATTGGAACCCTTATGCATTGCTGATGGAAATGTAAAATTGTGCAGATTACTTGGAAAAACAGTTTGGTAGCTCCTCAAAAAGTTCAGTGTGGTACAAAACCATATGATCCAGCAGTTCCACTTTGAGATAGATGCCCATGAGAACTGAAAGCAGGAACTCAAACAGATGTTTGTATAACAATGTTCACAGCAGCATTATTCATAATAGCCGAAAGGTAGAAACAACCCAGAATGTCTATCAACAGATAAATGGACAAACAAAATATGGTATATAGATACAGCCTTAAAAAGGAATGAAGTTCTGATACTTGCTACAACATGGATGAACCTTGAAAACATTATGCTAAGTGAAATAAGCCAGACACAAAGGGACAAATACTATACGATTCCACTTATATGTGGTACCTAGAATAGGCAAATTCCTAGAGACAGAGAGTATAATAGATGTTAGCAGGGGTTTGGAAGAGGGCTGGATGGGGAGTTATTGTTTAATGGGTTTAAAGTTTCTGTTTAGGATGATGAAAAAGTCCTGGAAATGGACAGTGGTGGTGGCTATACAACAGTGTGAATGAGCTTAATGCTACTGAATAGTACACAGAAAATGATTAAAATGGTAAATTTTATGTTTTGTACATTTTAACACACACACAGACACAAAAGCACTATGCTATCTTTGAGTGCCTGCCTACCACTGTTCTAGTTGCTTAAGATACCATAGGGAAAAATACAAATCTTTCCCTTCCTGGGACTTACAATCTGGTGAGAGTGGAGTGGTAACATTGCATTTCAAATGAATGGACACAAGATCAACCATTTAATAAATATTTGTGGAATAACTTGATAGATAAAAGTTGGTCAATATGTTAGGCTTTACACTGAAATTAATTCAAGATGGGCCAAAGTTTTAAATGTATAAAATAAAACCATAAAAACGCTAGAAGAATGCATGGGAGAACTTTTCAAAAAGAATAATCTTAAAATGGAGGAAGACCTTTCTAAATATGAAACATAACCTAGAGGCCATAAAAGACCAGTGAATTCTGCTACATGAAAATATTTGTAAAATATGCATGAAAAACCAACCACAAGCAAAGTAAAAAAAACACATAACAAAATTGGAAAAATACTTGCAACTAATATCACAAAAGATCTATTTTCTCAAATATGTAAGGGGCTGGTGCAAATCAATAAGACAAAGATAAAAAATGTGAGCCTATATTTCATGAGAAGGAAAAACACATGGTTCACTATAATTTTTAATAAGAAAAATATAAATTTAAACTATACCGAGATGCCATCAGATTGGCACAGTTCAAAAGTTTGATAATACACTGATGGAACATGTATGAGTGAAAGGCACTTTCGTTTATTGTCATTGGTAGTATATATCAATACAATTTCTATGAAATGCTATTTGGCAATATTTAATAAAATTACAAGCACAAATACAAATGCCTAAGAATTCCATTTATTTATATTCGTTACAAATAGTCTTACGCATGTTCAGAATGACATTTATTGTTAGAGCTAAAACCATAGAGCTCTAAAAACTATAAAAAGAAAACATAGCAGAAAAATCTCTGTGACTGTGGGTTTGGCAAAGATTTCTTAAACATGACACCAAAAGCAAAATATATAAAAGAAAAACTGGTTAAATGTATTTCATCAAAATTCAAAACTTTTGTGCTTTAAAAGAGACTATTAAGAAAATGAAAACATCAACCACAGACTGGTAAAGAATATTTTCAAATCATATATCTAACAAAGGACTTGTACCCAAAATATATAAAGAACTCTTGCTATTCAATAGTAAGAAGACAGACAACTCACTTAAAAAATGGACAAAATATTGGAACAGATATTTCACTAAAGGTATATGAATGGTTAATAAACACATGAAACATTACAAGTCATTAGGGAAATGCAAACGAAGATCACAATAAGATACCATTTACACCCATAAAATGGCTATATTAAAACAGTGACGATCAACACATAAGTGCACATATAAGAATAACATCTAGGGCCGGGCGCGGTGGCTCACGCCTGTAATCCTAGCACTCTGGGAGGCGGAGGCGGGCGGATTGTTTGAGCTCAGAAGTTCTAAACCAGCCTGAGCAAGAGCGAGACCCCGTCTCTACTAAAAATAGAAAGCAATTAATCGGACAATTAAAATTAAAAAATATATAGAAAAAATTAGCCGGGCATGGTGGCGCATGCCTGTAGTCCCAGCTACTCGGGAGGCTGAGGCAGGAGGATCACTTGAGCCCAGGAGTTTGAGGTTGCTGTGAGCTAGGACGCCACGGCACTCTAGCCCGGGCAACACAGCTAGACTCTGTCTCAGAAAAGGCAAATCTAGAGACAGAAAAGAGATTAGTGGTTACCTGGAGCTGAGAGTGGGAACAGGGAGTGACTACAGGTAGCATCAGGGATCTTAAGCTTATGATGGAAATATCCTAAAACTAGATCATGGTGATGGTTGTACAGCCAGGCAAATTTACTAAAAATTACTGAGAACGGGTGGAATCACTTAAGATGGATGACTTTTATGGCATGTAAATTATACTTCAATGCAATTATTTTTTAAAATGATATTTATACAATGTTAGTCATTGCAGTATTGTTGTAAGAACAAAGCATTAGAACCAATTTAAATGTCCATCAATAGAGGACAGGTGAAATAAATTATAGTGTATCTATACAATGTGATTGCATTAAATAAGGAGCTCTTTATATGGTGTGAAATAATCTTCAGGTCTTATTGGGAAAAGTACAAGATGTATGGTATGATATCATTTGTCTGAAAAATAGGAGAAGGGAGAATAATATGTACTTGAGAATTTGCTGACATATGCCTAGAATACCTCCAGAAAGATATATAGAAACTAGTTTGTCTTTGGAGAAGGCAACTGTATGGCTGGGGATGGAGGTGGTGGGAGATCTTTCACAGCATATTTGAGCCATGTGAATTATGACCTATACAAAAACTAAATAAAAATTAAAACTAAAAAAAAAGTTCTATTCAAATAGAGGTTATTTGATCTTTTCATTTTTCTTTTACATTTTTTCCCAATAGGTGGCGCTTCTCAAACACCATACTTGTTTTTGTTTTCATTTTTATTTTATTTGAGAAAAACCCAAATTTGCTCTGATGGCCTTTCTTACCCATTTGTCACCCCTGGGAACCTTGAGTTTAGGGCTGAAAATCTCTCTGCTAGGATCTCTCCAAAATGTATTGCTTTGATTCTGAAAACTGAATAGAAGGAGAGCACCTGGATTGAAAAAAGAAAAATGGCAATTGGTTCAGAAAATCAAATAATGCTTTCAGCCCTGTCTTCCTAACTGAAATTTCCGATAAACTGATGAAGGGTTAGAACTTCTGATTGATTGAATGGTTGATTGAAAGGTTAATATAGGTCGGTGGTTCTTCTCACTAAGGGTGATTTTGCCCGAGGGGATGTCTGGACACATTTTAGGTTGTCACACCGGGGGATACCACAGGCATTTGGTGGATAGAGGCCCGGGACACTCCTATAACTCCTACAATGCACAGAACAGCCCTCTTCACAGACAATTAACTAGCCCAAAATGTTAATGATGTGGATATCGAGCAACTCTAATATAGATAGGTTAAGATTAATATTCAGCATCTCTGTGGCTTGGCGCCCTGTTCTAAGAGGATTTACAGATAAGCACAGCATTCATATTTTCTTAGGCCAAGACAATCAGCACTGACTGACCTCAGTGTTTTTAGAAAAGGGCCTCTAAAACCACCTCCCACCCCCCAACAGTCTTGTGAGGACAGGTGAAATAAATTATAGTGTATCTATACAATGTGGTTGCAGGTGATGCAAAGGTACTTTCTTAGAATTGGTGTTGAAGAACCCACCTCCTCTGAGTCCTGAGCTCATTTCTTCCTCAGTTGGTTTCCTTGAAGGTGGCTGTACTGGTCATCTTCCCGATCCTTGAGGGGCTGGAAAGGACGGTACAGTTATAAGGCCATTTATTTCAATGCAATATTAATTAATTCTATACATATTTCTTGAATGCTTTTTATTTGTGAGGCTTTGGAGTGGGTGCTTCATGGTCCTGGGGCTGGAAAGAGGACAAGAAGATGGAGGCTCTGTATACAGTTTTTTTTGTGTGTGTCCCTCTCAGTGTCTTCCTCAACTTTTACTCACTAGATCCTGACCACAGTCTCTCTCAACCCTTTTCCTTATTTCATCTATTCTACCCAAAGGGATAACTATTCCACCATCTGGTATGCTATAAGCAGTTCCTTATCTGCATAGTATCTTCCAACTAACTTGCCCCCAATCCCAAAGTTTTACCCCCACTAATTGCAGCAATGTCTCTTTCATTCTTCATTCCCTTACCTGATAGAGCTGGTCATTGGGCAACAGAGTCTGCTTGTCTGAAGCTGCACAAAAAATAAACAAAACACACACACAGGGTAGAATGGATAATAAATTGGGTTATATTCACATAATGGAATACTAAATAGTAAGAATCGTCTACACACAAGAGTCTGAATAAATCTCACAAACATATTGTTGAGTGAAAGAAGCCACATGGAAGAATACTTACTGTATGAGTCCATTTACATAAAGAACAAAACTAAGTAAAATCATTCCCTATTGTTAGAAGTCAGGACAGTGCTCACTCTGGGTATGGTTAGTGGCTCGAAGTGACCACAAGAGGGGTTTCTATGGCATTGGTAATATACTTTCTTAAATTGGGTGCTGGATGTGTTTATTTTGCTAAAATATTTGAGCCGTATGCTTGTGATTCACTTTTCTGCATGTAGGTTTTACTTCAACAAAGAATTTTTAAAAAACAGAGAGCACAATCAGAGGGAACTGACTCTTGAGACAGGCAAACATGCTGTGATAACATCAAGTGTCCTTTTTCTCCTGCCCCACAGAAACAGACAGCCTCTATCAACAAGACATGCCAACTCAGATCCTTTTATTGGATCTATTTTGGTAGGAGGAAAACTGAGGGTCTCAGGTGGTCCCATCTCTCATCTAAGAAGTTTCTTTTACCTCTTGACTGGCGAGCTCCCTCTTGTCCAGCAATGAAGTAGACTCCAACAGCGAGGAAGAAAATGCTGATGATTTCAGCAAAGATAAAGCCGGATACGGTGGTTGCATTGAGCTCAATGCAGTTCTGACACACTGTCGAGAAAAGGAGGGACAAGTCTCCTTCAGGGTGTGAAAGTTGTTCTTTCCGGATCTTTTTCTCCCGCCTATCAGAGTAATGCCTCTGTCTAGGACAGCAGGCTCCTCCCTCCCCATGGCAAGGAAAGACCCTTTGAACAAGAACTCAACACGTCTTGATGTTCCTCCATCCCCCAGGAGTGCGTGTAGTCTAACTACCAGGAGCTAGGTGGAACAGAAGGAAGACTAGACCCTCACCTCCATGCTCCACTGCTCTCCACTCCTCAATGCCACTCACCTTGTAATCACCCTCTCACCCCACCCCCCTCAGTTTATAGAAGTTGCAGAATTGCTCTAATCCCTAGAATTTACCCAAAGGTAAACAAGGCTTTACAGGATTGGCTATGCTTTTTCAAGAAGCCAAGAGAACTGTTTTGTAATATTTAAAAAGAGGCAAGCTGAGATTAAGAAAACTGGATATTATAACATTGTTTAGCATCTATTTCCACCTTCACCCTGACTGTAGGCTCACCAGAACAGCAAGTACTGCTTAATTTCACAACAAACAAACCAAAGGGGATTACATACTTCTGTAATACACTTGGAGTGGTTTTGAAGTGTCCTTTAATCCTTGACACCAATATATCCCTTGAGGGTCCTTGGTACTACTTCCTAGATTCCATACATTTTTACTTTCATTTAGAGAGTTTATTATTTTTCCATCTTTAAACCATTTGATATTCTTTTCCTCCAAGTTGCACGTCAGAAGTACTGAATCATCTTCTTGAGTTTCATCCACCTTTACCAGATTGTTTTCTGCAAAGGGAAAAGCCATGGTTCTGTTAAGGATCTTGCCTCTAAAATTCTCCCTGCCTCGGGGTACCAGAAGACCATTAGAGCAGTGTTTCTCAAACTTTAATGTACACATGAATCACATAGGGATCTTGTTAAAATTTCAGGTTCTGGAAGAAGGTTACACAGCTTGAGCTGGCCCTTCTACTGCTCCTCAGATGACTTTTATTGGCATGTTCAAGACCACAGACATCCTTTTAAAAATGAAATCTGTGAAGTTCAATTGAGAATACTTTCCTACAAGGAAGCTCCCAATGATTTGCTTTTTTCATTTCTTTTGCTCTGAGCTGTTTATATAGCTTGATATGTTTACATGTCTGTTGAAGATACAGATCAAAATTTAAACATATAACTTTTTTAGGAGCAGTTAATGGGACACCATGAGAAAACAGCAGTGTTTTAAAAGTTCAAATGTTTCACAACAATAATGCCAACAATTTATTGGCATCTACCGTGTTTCATGTTCTAAGATAAAAAAAAAGTATAGCTGAAGAAAAAGAAATTTGAAAAAGGAATGAAACTATAGGCAAAACTATATGAAACAACAGCTTACTTTGAAATACAAAAAGAAATAAAATAAGAAAAAAAGAATTCAGGTTCTATTCAGTAGTTCTGGGGAAGGGAGATTCTGCATTGCTAACATGCTCCCAGGTGATGCCAGGGCTCCTGGTTCGTGGGTCACACTTTGAGACGTGTCTAGCTACCAAGGGTCCTGTTTCTCCTGGGAGGAGCAGAAGTTAAATGCTTAGTGACAGGAAGGCTGCCCAGAACAGGTCATGACAGGCCACTGATTTGGTTGACAATGGAGACATCGGCTATCACCCATCATCCCATTCTTTCTAAACTGTTCACTCCTACAGGACTACTGTTGTAGGAAGCCATATTTCCATGACTTTTCTCAGAGTTTGAGGATAGAAAGAAGCCATTTCTCCTACCTTTTTTTGACTGGGCCACAGTACCTGTAAAGACACAATAGAGATAGAGGATCAGATCAACTAGGCATGAACTTGTTTGGATGCTCCAATGTATTCCCCTGGTCATTTGAGGCCAAGATCAAGAGAGATCCTAATCCATGGAAATGACAATAACTATACCTACTTTCCTGGCTCGTAGCCTAAATCACCAAATTGAATTTGAGTTGTGATAAAGAATTTGTCTGGTCTTTGTCCTGGCTTCCTGGGAGAGAGTTTTTAACTCTTGGAAGTTCATGAGTGTTGGGAATGCCTTTGTTATTAGTGATGGACTCTTAGCCCACACCTGAGTTTATACTAAGGAGATGACTCAAGATGGTGCTGGTCAGGACCAACCATATGGATAGAAGATTAGGACTTAAAAACCAGCGATATCAGTCCTGGGAGCTGGAGGGGCTAGAAATTGAGTTCAGTCAAGTGGCCAATGATTCAATCAATCGTGACTGTGTAAAGATGCCTCAATAAAAACTTGGTGGAGGCCGGGTGTGGTGGCTCACGCCTGTAATCCTAGCACTCTGGGAGGCTGAGGCGGGTGGATCATTTGAGCTCAGGAGTTCAAGATCAGCCTGAGCAAGAGCGAGACCCCGTCTCTACTAAAAATAGAAAAGAAATTAGCTGGACAACTAAAAATATATAGAAAAATTAGCCAGGCATGGTGGCGCATGTCTGTAATTCCAGTCACTCGGGAGGCTGAGGCAGAAGGATTGCTTGAGCCCAGGAGTTTGAGGTTGCTGTGAGCTAGGCTGATGCCACAGCACTCTAGCCCGGGCAACAGAGTGAGACTCTGTCTCCAAAAGAAAAAAAAAAAACAACTTGGTGGAGCTTCCTGGTTGGTGAACACATCAACGTACTAGGAGGGCCAAATGTTCTGATTCCACAGGGAGAGGGTATGGAAGTTATATTTGCTGAATGAATGCATGAATGAATAAATGAGTGGATGAAAAAAAAAAGCAAGACAAACAGTTAAACAGATTTCTCACCAGCCCTTCTTCCCAATCACCTGGTCACCATGGAAGGACAAAGAGACTCCTCATTCTAATTCAGATTCCATAGGAAAGGAGATTGGACTGATCACTGACATCTTTTAATTTAGCATATCTGAGTGCTGTTTCCTTTGAGGATTTGAGAGCTCAAATAGCCAAATTTCTAGGTTGGCTGATGTGAGAACTCCCAGACGGAGGAGGCATTGCTCAAATTCACACAGCTCACTGGTGGCCTAGCGGGACCCAGAGCTCAGGTTTTCTGCTGCTCAGCCCAGTGCTCTTTCCAGTACATCCAGCTGCCTCACTCAGGCTTTCAGCCCTGCCCCTCAACCTCTGTTGTCTTTAGCTGGCTCTTCCTCCCACATCCTCAGAAATAATTCTAAATTCTCACTGTCCCCTTCAAGTCTCTCACTTGGCCATCACCCAGCTGAGTTTCAGGTATTGCCTACCGCTTAGTTTTTTGAGAACACAGATGCCGTTAGGGCCCTTTCTTTCCATTCACAAGCCTAGCTGTGGCTGGAGCCATCTGCACGTCTTTTCTCCTCGTCTCAGAGGGTAACATTGCATTTCCCCTCGGTGCTCTTGACCCCATTCTTGACTCCATCCTTCCAATATCAACTCCAGGACCTTGCTCTACTTATCTCTGTTAGCCTAGAAATGTGCTCGAGTTTCTCCCACCCTCAAAAACATTTCTTCTTGGACTCTACTTCCCCCTTCTCGATCTCTTCTCTCTTCTCATCCAAATTACCTTAAAAAATAGTCTACACTTGCTGTTCCCTATCACCTCACCTTCATCTCTACTCATTTCCACTGGTTTACACTCACACCACCCCATCAAAACTGTTCTAAATCACCCATGACCTTTATATTGCCAAAGCCCACAGATTTAAACTTTTAAATATATTCTTTTTTTTGCAGTATAATAAAATATCAAACAAAAAACTTTAAAATATATTCTTAATTTAGCGAACTCTCTTTAACATTTTACACTCTTGGTAATTCTCTCCTTCTAGAAGCTCTCTACTCCCTTGGTTTCCATAGTATCACACTCAACTGATTATTACAGCTCTTTCCTGGGATTTTTTTTTCTCTAAATGCCCCTTAAAAGTTTATGTCCACACAGTTCCATTTATGTCCTCACAGTTCCATCTTCAACCCCGTCTTCCTCACATCACACATGGTACTAGTATGATTTCAACAACTTTCGTGGTTTTAGCTTCTGCCAATGTGTCCAGACTCCAGGTATCAACCTAGTTCATCCGCTTCCTGTTGGGTATTTTTAACTGAATATTTGTACAGGTTCCCCCCACTGTACCTTATACTCAGTCTAGCAATATTAAAACTTACCTCTGCAGTTACACTATGAGCTCTTTAGAGCATAAGCTTTTTATTCATTTTTATATCCTCCTGGCCTATCACATATTAGGATCTCACACATAATTGTTGACCAGTTGACCAACTGAGTGAATGAATGTTTCATAGATCCACTGCTAAGCCAGGCTCTGAATTAGGGAGCACATACCTTTTCCTTTCAGTTTCCTGGCCTATGCCCCTTTGGGCTATGCTCAAATGTAAGATGGCGGCAGCAGGGTCCTCTCTCTAGCCAGTTAAGTGCTCTGTTTTGATTTCTCAGAGACAAGGACCCCATTTCTCCCATTGGATACTGCTTCTTCTCTAGCAGAGAACAGCAAGAGACTCCATTTTGCTCTTCCTTCTTTGTACTCTAAGATGACAGCTGAGGCGGACTCAAGGTTAGGGATCCCAATATTCCTGTCTCCCTGGTGATGGCCTCTTCCCTTGGGCCCCTTTCCTGGTTGCAGGCGCTTACCTTGAAGAAGAATGATAGCTAGGATGAGGCCGGCCAGACCCTTCCCCTGCTCCATGTCAGTCTCTGTCCTTCCCTCTGCAGAAGTGAGGAGCAGCCCTTAGCAGCCAGCGGCTTGTGCGGCAGCGAGACTGGCTCCACCCAGCACCTTTGGGCTGGGGCCCCTGCGAGAAGGCAAGAACCCAGAGCCTCCACCCTCTGCTGCAAGTGTGGGCAGCAGGGGCCTCAGCAGAGCTGCAGGTGCAGACGCCTCTTGTTTTTCTGTTAAGGAGTGGAGGGTGGGAGGGAGAGGGAGAGAGCGCTGGATTGGCACTCAGAGACTCGCCTTGCACACAGAACTACTTTGGATGCTGGCTGGGAGATGGTCCAGGGCCCTCTTCTTCATGAGGGAGATAAATGTCCCTGCCACCCGTTGTTGCCAGGATTGCAGTCAGTTGTTGCTTGTGGCCGTTTGTTGTTGCTATAACTAATGAATTTAGGTGGGACTCTCAGGTGCTTAGGACTAAAGCTCCAAATGCAAAATCACCTCAGTCCAGGTCCTGATTCAGGAATTCTTTTTCACTGTTCTTTTGAGATCATCAAAGAGGTGCCTGCCTGGAAGGGAATAGGTGGGACACTTCCAGGAAGACAAGCCAGCACATTTCCAGGAACTAGGATCTGGACTGAGTGTCTAGGATCTCAGGCCCCTTTGTCCCCCAGCCAGTCAGTTATCGAGTCAACAATTTACAGAGCTGCCAATATGTACCAGGCCCAACATACAGCAGTGAGACATGACTTTGTCCTCAGGTAAATGACAGTCTAACTGAGGCAATGTGAAGACTTTGAGATTTCCATAGGCCACAGGGGAAAAATGTTCATTTGTCTCTTGCAGAGGCTCAATTCTGCCTGGGAGTCAATTATATGGTTATTAATAACTACGTCTTACTGAGCACATACAGTGTGGCAGCCACCATGCAAACATTTTGTTCGAATCCTTATAATGATACTAAGGGAATCAGACTCTGAAAAATTTCATGACTTGGCCCAGGCCCTGCAGGTAGGCAGCGTTGGATCCAGGATTCAAATCTCTGGCTGGGGGGCTCTAAAGCCCACCCCCCCACCGGCAAGAAGGTGCTCTATCTGGTGTCCCAGGCTGCCCAGTTCTGAGAAAGGCCAGCTTCCAGGATGAACCTAGCTGGTCTGGTTTGTGCTGTGGGGTTCACAACTTCTCTCAAGGGGCCTCGAAAGGTGGGAGTTTTTAGGTGGTGAGTAAATGTAGTTATGTCATTAACAGCGGCTCTGAAGTTCAGGTAAACTTTTCTATATTCTCCACCAGCTCCCTGCTCAGAGAAAGAGCAATTTGCACCTGCTTCCTTCCTACCCAACCCCTACCCTACCCTGACCCTGACAGTCTCCCATCGTCAAAGGCAGAGAGTAGAGAAGCAGACATCTTCTAGTTCCTCCCCAACTCTTTACTTTTTCCGGTGCCTGTGAGTCAGTTGGGGGAGGGCAGCTCTCACCCTGGCTGGTAGTTCGGTGACCTGGCTTTATGTACTGGATGAATTCTGCTGGGAGATGGAACACAGCAAGTTTCTGGCTGGTCTGATACTGGCTGCCCTTCTCCCCCAAGGTAAGGCTACTCCAGGTGGGCAGGGGAAGGGACCTGGGAGAGACATGACCACTGGGAGCGAGGTCTACTTGAAAGAGCTTCTTAACGCTGGCTTCAATTCACCAGGCACCCTAGGGTGTCAAAGGTCAGGGCTGGGATGTAGCACAGGGTCTGGGAAGCAGGCTCTGGGCTCTGAATGACTCTATCCAGGGGTATGTATTGGCCTTGAACCTCTCTCCGTAGGCCTTAGATCAGAGATCTATATGGTTTAGTGTGTGTGTGCCTGAATCTAGGGACGGGATGGGAGCAGAGCAACACGCACTGTTCCTCCCAGGGCTGATGGCCTCTGGGATCGGGACTCTTGGTCCTTTGGCCAGATTACATCACCCTTGGAGCCATGCCGCAGCACTTAGGGTAGTGCTTTAAGAGAAAAGTTAACTTTAGGTTGAGTAGGGAGTGGGGACAGATTTGGGAGGTTATTAAATAGTGGGATTTCAACTCCAGTTTGCCAGTTTTAGTTTTAAAACTGGAAGTCCCATGTGCCAGGAACCCCCTCAATCCCAAGCAAGCTGGGTCCAATGATCACTTAATAGTCAAGTGTACTGGGACAACCAGGATTTCCACTGGAAACAGATCCCCAAGGGAGACATGACTACAGGATTGGAAGCATTTGATGTACATGTGTCTCCCTGAGAATACATGCATATACTCCTCTGAAGCAGACATGAGGAGCAGCTACTTTGGGGTTTTCTAGAAGGTGCTCTGGTATCCAAACTGGTGACTGAATGTGAAGTTCAGGGAGAACGTAGATTCCACTGTTCCCTGGGTTTGGAGGTACAGATTCCAGTGCCTCTATGGGCTGTGGAGATGCTCTCAGACTGTCAAAGCAATTATATGGATCTGGAAACTGGACTAGGAAAGTGATCTTTCTTAAGCATGAGCCTGAGCAGAACAAGGGGCCTGGTGCAGACCCAAGAGCTGTCTCCAATTGTGGTCTTTTTTTCCCCCTCTAGTGAGCCCCTTCATGATACCTGTGGAGGAAATTGAGGACAGAGTGTTTTTGGATTGCAATACCAGCATCACATGGGTAGAGGGAACGATGGGAACACTCTTGTCAGAGAACAAAAGGCTGGACCTGGGAAAACGCATCCTGGACCCACGAGGAATGTATATGTGTAATGCGACAGATACACGTGCCAACCAAGTATCTTCTGTGCAAATTTATTTTCGAAGTAGGTGCCTCCTGGACCCTTTGGGTTGGAATGGATGGGGCCTCTGGATGTGAGAACTTTCTGGCTAGAGGGGCTGTGGTGAACCCATCTGTTCTCTAAACAAACTGCAGTCACTCATAATGGTACAAGCTAGATTTGGGGGTATCACAGTGGGAGAGAGAGCTTAACTAAGCAGGACAGAGAAGTAGGGGCCTTGTTACTGCAGCCTTGGTTGGGAGAGGGTCTGGCACACTGCCACTGCCCTAAGATGAGATTACATCTTGGCTGTCCTTGGGGATTCTTTGGGATGAAGGGTGGAGGTAGATGTGGCAAAGCCATCACAAGGCCTTTCTCCCAGGATCTTACTGAAGTTTGGGTCTTGGCATGAGAGGTCCTATGGTTACCCTAGAAGGCAGAGATGGTTCCCTGATCTTAAAGGCTGTCTACCCCTCCTCTCTCCTCCCTTCCCCCACAGTGTGCCAGAACTGTGTGGAGTTGGACCCAGCCTCCCTGGCTGGCATGATCATCACTGACATCATTGCCACCCTGCTCCTCGCTTTGGGAGTCTACTGCTTTGCTGGACATGAAACTGGAAGGCTCTCTGGGGGTTAGTGGAGGGGCAGAGTGTGTGTGTGTGCCAATGAGCTCAAGCGCCAGCTAAGGAATGGGGCTGGTGGTAGGTTCAGTCTCATCTGGGAGTCACTTTTGCAATCTACTAAGGACTCCTACAACAAATTCTGCTTGTTAGAAGAGTTTGTGTGCACACACTGCTCATGCAGATTTCTGAGGGTGTGAGAGGGTGTGACCAGCCGCAGTCCCCCTGTAGTGTTTGTGGTGTCTCACCGTCGCATTCTCCTAGACTGTTGATGACTCTCTTTCTCTGGTTTTTCTAGCAGCTGACGTTCAAGCTCTGTTAAGGAATGACCAGGTCTATCAGGTGAGTCCTGAGGGGAAGGAGGCATGAATGAGAAAAGGAGTGAGTGGAGACAGAGGCTGACAGTGTGAGCTGCACATGTGTGAAGGGTCTTGGTGGGGCATTCCTGGCTGGGGGTGACTGGAGAGGTGAGGCGTGAGCACTCATCCCGGGGCCTGCTGGGTCTTTCCCAGGAGGGTTCTGCCCCTGCCTTCTGACCAATCCTCCCTCTCCTCTCTTAGCCCCTTCGAGATCGGGAGGATGTTCAATACAGCCATCTTGGAGGAAACTGGCGGAACAAGTGAACCTGGGACTGGTGGATCTAGAAACATCAGTTATCAATTGTACCTCCCCTGTTTGCTCAGCCAATAAAGAAATCCTCTTTCACTCAGCAGGTGCCTGGACTTTGCAAGCCTGCTGGGCAAAGGATGGCAGTTGTCCTGACTTGGCTGGGACCTTGCCCTCCCTGCCCACCTATGTCCTTTCTTCATCTCTTCCCTTCCTCTGCCCCACACGGATGGTGTGATGGGCCGTCTCCCACCACACCCTGGCCCTCTGGTGTTTCTAGCTCAGTGGGCTCCCTGGGGAAAGGGTTCTCCCCACCACACTCCTATGGCTACTTGTTGACTCCAGTCACCTATCACAAAGCTTCCAGGGTTTGCGCTGCCTCACCACAGTCACAGGCAGGCTGCTGTGTTCAGGAGCCCAGCCACATAGAAGTTTCCATGATGTCATGAGCGGAAGTGGTGGCAACATCAAGGTACCTGGGACTCACTTCTCACCAAGACTCAGAGTGTGTGTGTGTGTGTGACAAAGTCCCAGTGCTGCAAAGGGACTGGCCTTAGATTTATGGCCCCGGTGAGCAGTTGCCACCAGTGTATCAAAGGTGCCAATTGATTTTCCTTTCCCCAGGAGCTGTCCCTGGCTTGCTCCTGCCTTATGCATGATAAACTGGGATCAGAATCCCTTCATCCGTTAAAACACATTATCCCTCTCCATCTACTTGGAAAGCTAGAGTTTGAGATCGGGTCGGGGCTTGGGAAATTTTTAATAGGTGTCTTCGTCAGCCAGTGTGTTAGTGGTGGTTCTGAAACTTTGGGAGCCTGGGGGATGTATCAAAAATATAGATACTTAGGTTCCATTCTAGAGATGGGGTCCCTGAGTGATTCTGAAGCAGCTGAAATTGAGAGTCTCTGGTTTAGAAGAATTGAGGGCACTTACTTTCTTGTGTCCTCTGTGATGGTTCCTGGATCCCAGGGCTGGGAACCCCTCCCTTGTTTTTTTTTTTATTTTCATTTTTTTATTTTTATTTGAGACAGAGTCTCACTCTGTTGCCTTGAGTAGAGTACAGTGGCATCATTGTAGCTCTCAGCAACCTCAAACTCCTGGGCTCAAGCAATCCTCCTGCCTCAGTCTCCCAAAGAGCTGGGACTACAGGTGTGCGCCAGTACACCTGGCTACTTTTTCTGTTTTTAGAGGAGATGCGGTCTCACTCTTGCTCAGGCTGGTCTCGAACTCCTGAGCTCAAGAGATCCCACTGTCTCAGCCTCCGAGAGTGCTAGGATTACAGGTGTGAGCCAACGCACCGGCTGAATCCCTCTTTTTGTTCTCAGATTTCACAAATAATTTAAAGAGCTTCAGGAGAGTTTAATGACATTGGGAGTTTCCTAGACCAGGATTCCCAAAGGAGAAAGGAATGAACAACCACATAGCCAAAGATCAGGGTGATTCTGCTCACCATCTCCTCAAGATGCACGCAGACTCTAATTTCATGAGAGACAGAATGAACTTCCAGTTTGCACATGCGTCATTTATTCCTACCCTTTCCATCCTTACCGTGGTAGTCCTCCTAACCCAAGTCCCTGCTTTCTCCCCGGATCCCTTTACCCTGGGCATCCCTTCCCCGGCCTGTATCTCACCAATGCTTTGGATCCTTCCCATACCCTGCACACTTCTTAATACCTTGTACTCCTCATATTCTCTCTTGTCCCCCTCTCACCAGTTCTCAGCGTTGGCTGCACTTCAGAATCTCCTAGGGAGATTTAAAAATACCAGTGTCAGGTGGGTGCAGTGGCAAGCATCTGTAGTTACAGCTACTCAGGAGGCTGAGGTGGGAGGATGGCTTGAGGCCAGGAGTTTGAGGCCTCAGTGCACTATGATCGTGCCTGTGAATAGCCACTGCACTCCGGCCTAATCAACATAGCGAGACCCTGTCAGCACCCCCGCAAAACAACCCAAAACTGGTGCCTGGGTGCCACCCCCAGAGATTCTGATTTTATGGATCTGGGGTGCAGCTTGAGCATCAGGACTTTTAAAACTGCCTAAGGCGATTGTGATATGACGCCAAAGTCGAGAAACATTGTTTTCGATCTGAGCCCTTCTGGAAACTTGTGTCCTGTCTTGTTCTTTGTTTTGGTGCTTTTAAAAAACAGCTTTATCGGCTGGGCACGGTGGCTCACACCTGTGATCCTAGCACTTTGGGAGGCTGAGGTGGGAGGATTGCTTAAGGCCAGGAGTTCAAGACCAACCTAGGCAACATCACGAGACCCCCATCTCTACAAAAAATAGAAAAGTTAGCCCGATGTGGTGGTGCGCACCTGCAGTCCCAGCTACTTAGGAGGCTGAGGCAGGAGGATTGCTTGAGCCCAGGAGATTGAGGTTGCAGTGAGCTATGATGATGCCACTGCCCTCATACTTGGGCAACAGAGTAAGACCCTGTTTCCAACAAACAAACAACCCCCCCAAAACTGCACCTTTATTAAGGAAAACTGACATGAATAAACCGCACATATTGAAAATACAAAATGTGGTAAGTTTTGACATATGTATCTACTGGTGAAACATCACCACAATGAAAATAAAGAGCCTTTCCAACACCCCGAAAAGATCCTTCTCTTCCTTATTCCCCCCGCCCCACGCAACCACTGATCTGCTGTCACTATAGATTAGTTTTCATTTTTCCAGAGTTTTATATAAATGAAATAATATATGCAATCTTTTTGGTCTAGCTTCCTACACTCACCATAATTATTTTGAGATTCATCCACCTTGTAGCATGTACCCATAGTTCATTCCTTTTTATTGTCCTGTAGTATTCTTTTGCATGGATATACCACATTTCATTTATCCTTTCACCTGTTGATAGTCTTTTGGGTTGTTTTGTGGTTTTGGCTCTTACAAATAAAGCTGCTATGAACATTCATATATCAGTCATTGTGTGAATATATACTTTCATTTCTATTGGATAAATACTCAGAGTGGAATAGCTGGGATGCAAGTTTTAAAGAAAGTTGTTTTGGCTATGTTAGGTCCTTTGCATTCCCATTTGAATTGGCTTCTCAGTTACTACAAAAACGCCTGCTGGGATTTTGATCAGGATTGCATTGAATTTATAGATCAATTGAAAACTAGCATGTTAACAATATCAGTCTTCCAATCCTTGGATATATTTTTTATCATATTTCTCCCTAAGTATTTAATATTTTGATGCTATTGTATATGGTATTTAAAAAATTTAATTTCCAATTGTTCGTTGCTAGTATATAAAAATACAACGAATTTTTGTATATTGATCTTGTACCCTGAAAACTTACTAAACTCACTTATTAATTCTAGTAGCTGCCAAACATTGGGCATACTACATAGACAATCATATTATCTGTGAACAAAACAGTTTCATCTTTTACTTTCGTATTCGTTTCTGTTTCTTGGCTTGTTGGACTGCCTAGTACCTCTAGTACAATGTTGAATAGAAGTGGAGAACATTCTTGCCTTGTTCATGATCTTAGGAGGAAAGCATTTTCTTTCATCTTTATGGGTAATATTAGCTATAGGTTTTTCTTAGATGTCAGTTAACAGGTTGGGGAAGTTCTCTTCTCTTTCTAGTTTGCTGAGAATTTTTATCAAAAACAGATGTTGGGTATTGCCAAGAGCTTCTTCTGCATCCATTGAGGTGATAATATGATTTTACTTTTTTAATCTGTTAATATGGTAAATTAAATTGAGGCATGATCTGTTAAACCAACCTTGCATTCCTGAAAAAACTCTAGTTGTTATGTATTATTCTTTTTATATGCTATTGGATTAAATTTGTTAAAATTTTGTTAAGAATTTTTGTATCTGTTATAGAGGACTTTGTCTATAGTTTTCTTTTCTTGTAATGCCTTTGGATGGCTTTGATATCAGGATTTATTAAGGTTTTCCAGAGAAATAGAACCAAACTACAGATCAAAAATATTGGAAAAAAAATAGATAACTGCATCTGTACTGAACATGTACAGATTTTTTCTCGTCATTATTCCCTAAACAATTTAGTACAACAATTTACATAGCATTTACATTGTATTAGGTATTTTTTTTTCTTTTTTTTTGAGACAGAGTCTTACTCTGTTGCCCGGGCTAGAGTGTCGTGGTGTCAGCCTAGCTCGCAGCAACCTCAAACTCCTGGGCTCAAGTGATCCTTCTGCCTCAGCCTCCCAAGTAGCTGGGACTACAGGCATGTGCCACCATGCCTGGCTAATTTTTTCTGTATATATATATTTTTAGTTGTCCAGCTAATTTCTTTCTATTTTTAGTAGAGACGGGGTCTCGCTCTTATTCAGGCTGGTCTCGAACCCCTGAGCTCAAACAATCCACCCGCCTTGGCCTCTCTGAGTGCTAGGGTTACAGGTGTGAGCCACTGCTCCCAGCCATGTATTAGGTATTATAAGTAATCTAGAGATGATTTAAAGCATACAGGAAAATGTATGTAGGTTATGTGCAAACTATCCTTTCAACATGACCTTTCCTGTCCACCACATGCTCACGTCTCTGGTGTGCTAAAATAAGCTTTCCCTTGACCCTGTGTGACCTTGCCCAACTAAAACATGAGACAAAGTAGGTAAAAAACAATAATTTTTAAGACTTGGACACCAGACAACAATGGAAAGTGATCTCTGAGAGGTGGAGAAAAATAAAGGAACACTGTTTTCTATAAGGGACTTGAGTATTTGTGGATTTTGGTATCCCTGGGGAGTCCTGGAACCCATCCCCCACCAAGGAATGGGATGACTGTGTATACACTCTATTGGTTCTGTTTTAGAGAACTTGGCTCATGTGATTATGGAGGCCGGCATGTCCAAAATCTGCAGGGTATGCTGGCAGGTTGGGGACCCAGGGAAGAATTGCTGTTGTAGCTGCCCAAAGACAGTCTGGAGGCAGATTTTCCTCTGCCTGTCAAAGAACCTCAGACTGTTTTCCCTTAAACTTTCAAGTGTTTGGATGAGGTCCACCCACATTATAGAGGGTACTTTGCTTTACTCAAAGTTTACTGATTTAAATATTAATCTCATTCACAAAAATACGTTCACAACAACATCCTATTATATTACACTGAATATTTGGGTATCGTGGCCTGGCTAAGTGGACACATAAAATGAGTGAGGGTAATCAACACAGGGTAAATTTGGTCTCCATAGATTGAGTTGGAAAAATTTCCTTCTGCAATTTTCTGGAAGGGTTTGTATAGAACTAGTATTATTTCCTCTTCAAATGTCCAGTAGATTTTACCAGTGAAGCCATCTATGATTGCAGTTTTCTTTCTAGGAAGTTTTTTTTTTTTCACTAAAAATTCAATTTATGTAATAGTGTGTACATTTTTTCTAAGCTGTCAAAATTTATTGGGATCCAATTTCACCATGAAGTTTGGGGGGACAAACATCCAAGCTATAGTAAGGGCCCTTTGTGGATCTCTGAGTCTCTCTGGGTGCATGCCTCTCATCGCTTGCAGGCTCTCCTGTAAACTCTAGAATTCTTGGCTTCCTGTCTCTGTCTCCTTACCTCAGGGAGATCTCTGGGCTCTGCCTGGAGTCTCCTTCCCTGCACCACAGCCTGGAAACTCACTCTAGGCGGCAAGCTGGAACAATCCTAGGGCTTCCCTTGTTTTTCCCTACCTCTCAGGGATCACTGACTATTGTTGACTGGTGTCCAATGTCTTAAAAGCTATTGTTTTCACCTATTTTGTCTCATGTTTTAGTTGGGCAGGGAAGCTGGACTAAGATGGCTCCGAGATGCTCTGGCCAGCTCTCTCTGCAAGCTGAGTGTGCTGTGGGAAGCTGAGAACGAAGCCTTCCCACACCGGTCTCTGGGCCCCTGGCTGCTGCTGCACCTCTCTCCCCCTCGCCCCATGATGCGAAGAAGCAAGTGCAGCCCACATCCTGCGCTGCCTAACCGCAGCCTGCCTCTGGGGTCAGGGAGTGAGGCCTGCTTGAGAGCACCTCTCTCCTCCACTTCCCCAGCCCTGGCTCAGCGGCTCTTCTTGGCAGCTTATGGAAACCTGTGTCTATCCCCGAAACCCCCCTTACACCTCTACCCTTCTCTTCTCTTACCTTCATCTGTCTTTCAAGGCCTCTGTTTCTATCTTGCCCATTTTCTGAACTAACTACTCCATCAGGGACCCATCAGTCACTTTCTGCCATTTTTGATGTTTTCCTCCAAGAGAAGGAAACTTTTCCTTCTTTCTCATCTTCCTTCCTTTCTTTTTTCTCTCTCTTTCCTTCCTTCTTTCCTTCCTTCCTTCCTTCCTTCCTTCCTTCTTTCTTTCCTTTCTCTTTTTCTTTCTTTCACCCCTCCCAGCTCTCTCTCTTTCTCTGATGCCCTCTCCAAAGAGAGCTTCAGATAATGCCCCCACCAGTTGTGAAAATAGGCAGCGCTCACATTTGGGATCATAGCAGAGCATTTAGTAAAAGGCAGTGGGGACCTGTGTGGTCTTAGGAAACAAGGGCCTCCCAGAAAAGAGGACCAGCAACTCTTTCAGCCAAATACACTTTATTTTCTCTCTCCCAGCTGAGAGCAGCCAGCACATTTATGAAGATGCAAATGGCCATGCAGTGGCTTAGGTGGAGACAAGGGGAGGTAGCAGGGGCCTGGCTCTGGGCAGGATCTGTGAGTGAGACAGGACCTCTGCCAGTATCTACCTAGTCCATCCCCAGAGAGGGTTGCAAAAGAGAGAGCAGGAAAAATAGGTAGATGGAATGGAGGACAACTTATATACAGAAAAAGGAGGGAGCTGAAGGGAGAAGTAACATCCATGGGGGACAGGAGGAGTTGGCAGGGAGTGAATAACAGAAATAAATATCCTGACAAGAGGGGCAGGCCAAGTGTGGTGGCATAACTAGCAATAATGTTTCAAAGGATAACGCAGCAGCAATGTCCTAGGACTAGGCACCAGCAGAGCAGGCAGGAAGGAGGGAGCTGGGGACAAGGCTGCAGGGTATGAGTTCACCATGCGGTCCAGGAACAATCCTCTCGTGGGGTCCAAGACTTGCCCAGGGGACAGGGAGTAGCAGGGTGCCGGGAGAGGAGCCAGACCAGTGGGAAGCAGCGTTCGTGACAGTCTGTCCTCAGATGCCTCTCTGATTCAATCCAGAATACAGTTCCCGCTGACCTTTCCGGATGGGCTGGGGTGGAAGGGAGAGCAGGTAGTCAGTAGGGTGGGAGGATGTGCTTCTTAAAAAAGAAAGGGCACTGAAGATCTAGCTTTAGTGCAGCGGAAAGAACTTTGGACTTGGAGTCAGGAGGCACGCTCGAATTCTAACTTCATGCAGATGGGTAGGAGACTTGACCCAGTCACCTCCTTTTGTGAGCCTCAGCTTTCTCATCTCTAGAGACCCATTTTCCCCGGCTTTTCTTAGGGTTAAAGAGGTCACTAATGCTTAAGTAAATACTACATGCTTGGCTGGTACCCAATAAATATTTGTTGAGTTTATCCAGGTGTGATATTCAAACTATTTAACAGCTGGTAGTGCACACACTGCTATGTCAGGCATTAACTCTTTAGTTACCCCCAATCAAGAGGCAGCCCAGTGGGGGAGGGGCTGTGATGTCTAGCTGTGTGTGTGTGTGTGTGTGAGATAGGGTGGGAGAAGCTTGGGGCTATTTACCAATGAAGTATTTTAATAACTGGTATGACTACGTTGGTGCATGTAGGCGGAATATCATCCCTTAATTTATTGTGTTAGAGTTTGCATATATGATATTCTCTATGGCTGTATCCCAGATGATGAATAAGCCAGAGAAAGAGGAGTGTGTCTCCCCCCAACCCACCACCTCTTCTTGTTGTGGGAGCTGTGCAGCCTTGAGGTGGTCCTGTTCTACCACGGAGGAGGCAGAGGCGGGCACATGGTGGGTTGCCGTGGGAGCCCTGAGTGCAGGGCTTTGAAGTATCCAGCAGAAGAGATGGACAGTCTCACCTGTTCCCCCTTCCCCCTAGAAGGACTCCCTACCACCCAGCTTCCTGGCCCACTCTATCCCGTTACCTCGTAGTCTGGGTTAGGAACAGGTGGTGGCCTCTCCTTGTTTTGTCCTGCAGAAGAGGGAAGGGAAAAGTCTTTGTTTCCATGAGGGAACACCAATCTTGCAGCACCGACTGTGCCAATGAGACCCCATTCGAGGATGGCAAACCCCTTTGTTCCCTACAACTCCCTCTCTCTTCTCTCTCTTTGATCCCATCTCTAAGGACCCCCATGCCGATCTCACCATTTCGTGACTTTCCTCAGCTCAACGTCCTCCCATTGTTTCTTTCCATGGGGAAGGGAGAGGAAAAGGAAGGAACTAATACCTCAAAGTTTCTCTTCCCACCGCTAGGGGATGGAATCTGATTACTGCAGAGCACTGACAGGCATTTGAGGAAGCCATCATGCTCATAAACTTTTTTACACTTTTCTAGAGTGGGAAGGAGAGAAGTGATCTGAGATTCAAAATCCTCTGTTGAGATTGTGGCGTCAGAGCGAGTGCCCTGCAGACGCTGTTTTGACCTAGCTGTGGGCGTGCTGGATGGCCCCCTTGGCAGGAATCTCCTCTCACCCAGCTCCACAGTCTTACCCCTGGGCCTGCCACCAGCACCCATGCCTCGCGTCACAGGCTTGGCCTTGGCCTTTCTATTCTTGCTCCAGTAATAAACCAGCACCATCAAGCCCAGGGTGATGCAGACGTCGACTATGATGACTGTGGCCACCGCCGTCACGTCCACCTCCATGCAGTTCTCACACACTGTGGGGCGGGGGTGGGGAGAAGAGAGAATTCCATTGAGAAAGGAAGACACGAGGACACTGGAGATGAGGAAGGAGCAACGCAGGCCATTCTCCCCTCCATGCTCACATGCTTGCCACGGCCAGAGCCCTCCCCTTCAATATGTTTATAACAACAACAACAAGCAAAGTGTGGTGGTCATGGGTAGAAGCTCGAATCCCGGATTCGAATCCCAGCTTCATTACTCACTAGCTGTGAGAATTGTGAAATGTGTTTTCAACTCACGAAGCCTCTGTTTCCTCATCTACAAAATGGGAATAAAATAACTCATATGGTTGTTGAGAGGATTACATGAAAATATCCCTGGTAGGTGTTTCGTACAGTACTTCAAACTTAATAAGCACTAAATGTTAGCAATCATTATTATTTTATTATTATGCCTTAGTTTATGATGTTTTATGGTAATAGTTCTGAGTCTTTTTTGCAAGTCCTTCTGAAGAATTTATCTCTGGATATAGCATCAGATAAACTCACTGCTGTAATTTTGGGTGTGAGACAATGTAGATGACCCAATCCTGTCCCTTGGGAAGTTGCTATTTTAGATCTAGCATAGACTGAGGTTACCCGCACAGCCCCCTGTTGGTGTTCTATCTATATTCCAGAAAATGATGATGCTGTCTGGCACCAGAGAGTCCCAGGATTGAGTGTGGGAGGAAGCACAAAGATGCCGGGGGCGGGGCGGGGCTGTGAATTGGGTTAGGGGAAATCATTGAGAATTCCCCTTTGGAATGGTCCTCCCTAAGGGCCTTACTGGGGCCTTTTCTGAAGACCTGTATTACCTCTTGCTCTCAGGTAGAGATAGTGGCTCACTTCCTTCGAGGTGCCTGTGTAGCAGGCATAATAACCGCTGTCCTCCGTTTCTGAAAATTCCTTCTGTAATAGCTGCTTCTCGTTCTGATACTCTGGTAATATTTTACCATTTTTTTCCCAGGTTATTTCAGATCCAAGTTCCTGAGGGCATGTCAATTCTACTGTGGTTCCTGAGATGGAGACTTGATATGCTGGGGAATGAGAGAGAAAGAAGGGAAATCGGAGGGAGAAACAGGGAATTTTCAGAAAAGGCAAATTAGTGACAAAGGAACCAACAAATGCAGGAAGACATCTGTCATGCAGGTCTTGGATTTGCTTGTCAGAAAGGAGTTGTACTGGCTGGAGAGTGTGCAAGAGGGGATGTGTGGGGAAGGAAAACTAGAGAACGTTTTGAAGGTGGCTTCAGGGTTTAGGCAGGGACATGGGGACTTGGGAAGGGGAGGATGAACATTAGTATGTGGAAACTTTCTGAAATGGGAGATGAGAATGTGAAGTTGGGAGGACCTCAGTTCTTGGGGTTAATCTCTCTCAATCAGTTCTTTCTCCTTACCTACCAATCTGCATCCTCAGACAGGGAATAAATAAAAGATTGATACTCACGTCTCGGTGGGGCACCTGAAAATGAAAGAAGGAAAGAATGGTAAGAAAATATTCTGGTTTAAGTTTAAATAGTAGGTAAAATTTTTCTAGTGGGACTAGACACTGCCTCCAAGAATTCCCAAAGAGGGTCTCATCATTTAGGGACCCCCAAGTCTTGAAGGTGAGGTATGTACCTGGCCATGAGATTTAGCTCATAGATATAATTTAGCTCATAGATGTAAGTAATTTAGCTTGTAGATATAATTCGGGTACATCAAATTAAGAATATACCAGTGTGTGCTTCTAGACTCAGACCCTCTGAAGCTCAGAAAGTCTTAAAGTCCTAAGGCTGAAAAATTCTAGAAGCCTTCAGGCTTACCCTCTTGCCTCTGGTATTAGCCAGAACCATATTCCAGATATGAAAGGGCCTTCTCAGAGATAAAGACCTCTACACCACTGAATCACTCATTCTTGGGCTTACCTATTTCTCATTATTCAGAAATTATTTCTTATAGCTAACAGAGTCCCTCATAATAGAGAACAAACATCTTTCTTCTTATTCCATATAATTTTCTCTGTTATTGCCTTTAAATGATGTAAAGCACCTACGCATTTTGAGGAAATGGTTCTTCCAATAAAAATTGGCTTTATATTATCTTTGAACATAATCAACTCTCAGTTATTTTTGTCAGAGGGAGGGCCCATTTGTGTGGACAGATGAAATCAACTCATAATCCACTAATGCCATCAGGGATCTAGCCCAATTCCCCCCAGCAGTTAGTTAGTTTTGCGCTGGGAGGTAGAGCTGGGGTCCATCCCTGTTTCCTGGAAACCTTGTGGCTGAAATATTGGGCTCCGAGGAGCCTGGGCATGGCTGCTGGCAGACAGGAGAGGTGGTGGTGCTCAGAGACAGCATGCTACGGGGGAAAGAGCACTGGACTCAGAGTCAGAAGCTTTGTGTTTGAATGCCAGGTCTGGGCAAATCATTGAACTTCTCTGAGCCTCAGTTTCCTTATCAGGGAAGTGGAGCTGAAACACCCACCTCACAGGCTTTTTGTGAGAATTAAAGGGATTATGAGGGTGAAAGTGAGGGGCGTACAGCATATGCTCAAGAAAGATGTTACTTTCTTTCCTCTTTTCCTTCTTGGGGTCTTGCTACCATGGAAAACAGAACTGAGCTCTGACCTAGTTGCTCAGGCAGCCCTCTGGCCGAGAAGGAACATAACGCAAGCAAATTATTCCCCAGGCTTTCTACTTGCTAATAACGGGAGCTGAGTATAATGACAATAGACACTTGATATTATTTTGACTCATAAATAATTTTTCAACACTGATGTTTCTTAGAAATGTTAAATGAACTAGACATCATAAATAAAATGACTTAAAAGTAAATAGACATTATATTCTGCTTGGTATGTTTGTTTGAAAAAAGGAATGTAAAGAAAATTGCTCACAACTTTAATTGGCATAAATTCAGTAGCAGAGCTTAGACTTATTCACACTCATACAAGGGCCTAGATGTCTATGCTTAGACATAAGTGTTCTCACAAAGATTTTATACATATCCAGAGACAGTATTTCACAATGGTTAAGAAAATGAGCTTCAGTAACATATAAATCTGCATTTATGTCTCTGTGATTGGACAGTTCAGCCTTTGGTTCTATATCTGCAGAACAGGGATGTTAGAAGAATTAAATGAGGGAATTTGGGTAAAATATTTAGAGCAATATCTAAAACAGACATGCTGAATAAACTTTAATGCTTATTATCTATAGTCGGTGTGCTTTCCATATAATAGCTAAAATTTACCCACTGTCTTCTATGCCAGATAATCTCCCGAGTGCCTTAAATAAATTATTCATTCAATCCTCATAACAACCTTGTTTACTCTGTATCTACGCATATCCTAGCATGCAACATTTTCTTTTTAAAACAACTGTATTGTCAATTGTCTCTCACACAAGACCACCGGCTTCTTGAGAGGAGGGAATTATTAATGCGTTCATATGTTTTGTTCATTTATTCATTCAAAAAATATTCACTGAACACCTAATATGTGCCAGACCCTGGGCTATGTAAATGAGACACTGTCTCTGCCTTCAAGGATCTCATGGTCTATACAAAAATGCGTGGTAGCTCAAACCCACAGCTACATTTGTGTTCTTCCCTGACTGTACACTCAGGGATACATATACGCAAAGCTATAACAAGACGTGACAGTTAGCAACAAATACAGGCACATTTCATACAGATTCCATTGAAAGATAGTTGTATTTTCCTTTTGCTAGGTCTAGTTCTCAGTGCTTCTTACTGTGCCTGTCCTCTATGAGCATTTTGTTCCACATTTTTTTTTAATCGGCTGAATTTAAGTAAAATTGTTCCACATTTGAAAAGAGGTCATATAGAATGAAAATCCTCTTACCAGGTTCTTCATTGTCTGAAAAGGAAAATGATAAGAAGCCATTAGTAATATTTCTATCAACAGCTAAGATCAGACCCTTTGCCCTTGGGTTAGGACCCTTCCCTCAACCTTTTGGAAACAATGGATCTTCAAATGTTCTTGGCTGTATATGAAAAGCTGTTTTGAGCCGTATATCCTGTATTAAATATCTGATGGCTATTTACGAAAATGGCTCCACGGTGCAATGTAGACTAGCACAATGGCTGCATTTAAATACACCATTGGTTCACTCAGTTTGGAAGAGCTGATTGGATAGAGAGGCTTTCAGTGTTGCAACACTCCTAACTCTACCGCTGTGATTGAGAAAGTAAGTCCAGGCTAGGCACACTCATGTGTGTGTACACACATGAACACATGTGTAGACACATACTCAGAATATTCAGACTTGTGATTCTGAGTATATATCCAAATATTGCCCCAGAGGCTTATCCAGAGTAACCCTGTGCATATATTCTTGCCACATAACCTCCACAAAATCTCACAGCAAATGGAAAATGCAAACAAATAAGAATGGTTGGCATTTTCAACTTAACAGTCTCAATTTTTCTTTTGAATAATTAAGACTTGTTATTTCCTATGATGTCTATTGCTTCTCTCGGCTAGAAATATCTCTAGACTTAATGAGAAAAAGGCAAAGGAAAAGATGGGAGCAATTCCTTTCACTGGTCTCTGTGGAAGTTCTGTGAGAGGCTGAGAGAAAGCTCCACTCATAAATGCAAAGAATGCTGGGCTGATTTTATAGCAAAGATAGAAAGAGTATCTTACCTTCCTGCCCCCAAACGCCAACTAGAAAACAAACAATAATTTTAAAAAGTTAGTAAATATTGTGGGTGGCTGCAATTCCAAAGATAAAAAGGGCTGTGTTCCAGTCCAACCAGTTATGACATCTGAAGTCTTTTTCAACCACGGTTAGATCACAGTCATTTCTATACCCCAGGAAAGGGAACTTATTGCTGGGTACTGACCAGGGGTTCCTGAGCAATTGGGGAGGAAACAGAGCAAGAAAGCATCTAGCATTAAATATGAAATATGAAATATTTGGTAAGCAGAAATCAGAAAAAGGACTGCTTTTTGGATGACTGGAGAAATAGCAAAAGAATTTTGCAATCAAGCCTCCATTTTGAAACTTGGTCTCTGTGGAAGAAAAACAAGCCCTTGGTTGGGTATAAATGTTGGGATTCTTGTTCCATCTCTAGCTCCTGCTTGTCTGATGGTTCAGTTTTTCCATTTGTTTTCTGCTTGAGACAGAGGTGGAAATATTTGAAACCCCCGATTACTCATCAATTCGAGCCTGTGCATTGAAGAGCTCGATCACATTTCCACGGGGCCCTCCAAAGTCTCCTCACTCAGCAGTAACTTGGATTCATTACAATCACCAGTTTCCCTGGCATTGCCTGAAAATTTTCCGTATATCTAGACCTTTCTTTTAGCAAAGCCTCTACATTGGTGAGACACGCTCCCTACTGCCCTATCCCCAGAGCAGACTGGGTATGTTCTTATGATGCCAAATTTCTAGGGGTGCTTGGGTCTTTGATATTCTTATTTTTTCTTTTTTTAAGAAAAAGCATAGTTTTTTCTTAAAAAATACCATAGCTCTCTAAGAAAATGCCTGGCCACTCCCTGCAGGAGTGATATCCTGCCTCTGGTACTCAATGTGTTCCTTGGACCAGCAGCAGATTAATAACCTTGAGAGTTTATTAGACACGTGGAATCTCAGTCCCCACTGCAGGTTTCCTGAAACAAAAGCTGAATTTTAACAAGAACCCAGGTGACTTGTGTGCACATTCCAGTTTGAGAAACCCAGAATGACGCAGGAAGTGGAGGCATCATAGCTGGGGCTCTGAGCTAGGGGCCCCAGCTGTGATGCTGACCTTTTCTAGGTTTTTGAAATAAAACCATCGTGAGCCATTTTGCCTTGTGTGATGCAGTCACTCAAAGCACAGGCCTTGCAGACAGACAGTTCTGATTTCCCAGATCAGCTTCAGCACTTACTGTGTGGTTTTAAACAAGTTATTTAACTTTTCTGAGTATCCATTTCTTAATTTGTACAATAGGGAATATAACACCTTCCTTCCAAGGTGAAAGTAAGGATTAAATCAGTTAGCACATATACAGAATTTTTCCTTTACATAGTACCTGGCACTCAGTAAATGACAACTTTCAAAAAAATATTATTTATCTCATACAAAATATGTAAATCATCTTAGTTATTTGTCAGTTTATATCCCACCTTGCTTCAAAAAGGACTAAACTAATTGAAAGCTCTTAGTCACCTAAAAAGGACTGAAAATTATGAGGCGTTTTATTGTCTCAAAGATACTAAACTTGCTATATATACCCTGTGCAGTTTGGGTTTCAACTATCTGATCTCCCCAAAACAAGGAGTGGAGCTTTGCTCTTCTAACCTCTTTTCCGTCACTTCTTAAGGGCTGGGTAAATTCGTCAACAGAATTTGGTCAACAGACAGGATCATCCCCACTGCTTTTCTTTGCTCCCAGAACGCTCCCCCAAGCACCTGTGGCGTATCTTTCTCGTTAGCCTCTGGCTCTAATTCCCCGCCCTAACGCAGCACAAACAGTTCCTTACATCTTCTATTAAATTGAGGCTCCTTGGTGCCACTGGGCAGTGCCAGGTAAGGCCGTGAGCCTTCCAGTGGTCTGGAGACACATCACCCTTTTTCCCTCCTACTCACCTGATAAGAGGCAGAGTCCCAGAACTCTCCAGAGAGTGCCCGACTGCATCTTCCTCTCACAGGACGCTTACTCTACTAAGATGGCGGAGACGAGTCAGCTTATAACTTCTGAAAAAAAGAAATCAGAGGACTTTTTCAAAACATCTGCTGGAGATAAGGCCTCTGGGGCCATTGTTTGCCATGCTAGCATGAAAAAGGGGTCTTTATCAGAGGGACACTCACCATTTTCCGACACAAGCACCCGAGGCTGGGAGGGGAGGCGGGTTTTTGAACCCCACACAGGAAGTGTCGAGGGGCCGCTGGGCCTGCTGGTTCTGCCTCTCTTGGAAACGTTCGAGGCACAGGCCTCCACCTGGCGTGGCTGAGAAGAGCTGGGCCCCACAGCCTTCCTACAAGGACAAGCAAGAGGATTCTGATGAAACCTGAAGGTGCTGTGAAAAACACCTGCCACTTAGTGGCCCAGGCCATGGGGCTCCTTTCTCAGATACCACCCCCATCCCCCCTACACGCCCCCAAGCTGTAACAGGAAGGGAGAGGAACATTGAATATTTGCTTTCTTTACAGTATGCCTGGTGTGGAGCAGCAGGGTACAAACCATCTTATTAACAAAACCTGTTGGCTCGAAAATACATGTTGGCTTAAAACCATGAGATGCCATTGTTTTGGCCTATAAACTTTACAAAAATACTTAAAAACACAATACTCAATGTTGGAAAGGGTAAAGAGTGATGGTGTCAGAGTCTGCTGGTGTGAGTGCAAGTTAATGCAGCCTTTATTTTTAAACATGCATTAATCGAGTGGGTATTATATCCGGGCACTGTGCTAAAGGCTTTACTGACATAACTCACTTAATCCTCAAGACAACCCTCTAAGGTAAGTATTATTTTTAGCCTCATTTTATACTTGAGCAAACTAAGGTTCAGACAGTTATATGACTTGTTGCAGATTACACAGCTCGGACTCCAGAAAACATTTTGGCAAAATTCACTTATTTAGTAAATTTTTTCCATCTACTATGCCGTAGTTGTGTGCTGGGTGCTAGCAAAGGAGCAGTAACCAGAGAGAGTCCTTGTGCGTGAATAAAGGAAATGGAGACGTTAAACAGGTAACTTCAGGAGGTTGATGCTGGGAAAGAAGATATACAGACGCTGCGGGAGTGGCAGAAGGGGGGTCTCAAGATAGTCTGGGGGCAGCGAAGGCCTCCCTGAGCAGGTGACATCTAAACTGAAATTTGATGGAGGGACAGGAGTGAACCAGGTGGTGCGGAGGACAGGCAAAGTACTCCAGACAGAGGGAGCAGCACGTTTAAAGCCCAGACGTGAGGAAGAGAAACAGAAAATCCAGAGGAGCAGGTAACAGAGTGTGAGAAGGAGTGGCAAGAAATAAGATAGGAATCTCAGCAGGACCACATGGGCGGGGATTGACAAGCCATGTTAAGGATTCTTAAGGATTTTCTAAGGGCCATAGGAAGCGATTGAAGAGTTTAAAAACAGGACAGTACGGCCAGGCATGATGGCTCATGCCTATAATCCTAGCACTCTGGGAGGCCGAGGTGGGAGGATCGCTTGAGGTCAGGAGTTCGAGACCAGCCTGAGCAAGAGCAAGACCCTGTCTCTACTAAAAATAGAAAGAAATTAATTGGACAGCTAAAAATATACAGAAAATTAGCCGGGCATGGTGGCGCATGCCTGTAGTCCCAGCTACTTGGGAGGCTGAGGCAAAACGATTACTTGAGCCCAGGAGTTTGAGGTTGCTGTGAGCTAGGTTGATGCCACGGCACTCACTCTAGCCAGGGCAACAGAGTGAGACTCTGTCTCAAAAAATAAATAAATAAATAAATAAAAACAGGACAGTGACAGTATCAGATTCTTATAATTTTAAATGAAAAAAGTTTTAACTGTGGAAGTAACACATGCACATATTAAAAACAACAAAGACTACAGAAGGGCTGTGTAATAACAGTCCCCTGCCCCTCCTTGCCTCACCCCATCCTCTCCCTAGAGAAAACCACTTTTCACTTTTTTAAACTGCTTTTTTTTTTTCTGGTGGTTATCTTCGTATCTCTAAATGTGCATTGTCATCCGTTGGGTTTTCTGGGAAGCAAACTTTCAGGTGGACATTTGTGCAGGTGGCTCGCTGAGGGAGGGCAGGAACAACACCTGTAAGGGAGGGAGGGAAGCGGGATGGGGCAAAGAGAGAAGGCGAACTGTGATGAGGTCGCAGCGGGAGCCTCAGTCAATGCTGCAGGGAGTTCTCAGGCTGGGGTGATCCTTCAGGGTTGTCCTGAGTTGAGGCAAGGAGCACATCATCCGGTCGCTGGATGTGAGCCGTTCCCAGAGAGGAGAGGTGAAGGTGGGTGAGGTCGCTGCTTCCGCGGAGGGCAATGCCTTTGACAGGACTCGACTGTGAGTCCTCGGGGATGAGAATCCCAGCGCCCAGGGGGAGTGAGCAGTCCTTAAGGGGGACCTGGGCGGTGCTGCACAGCACCCATGCAGCTCACCCCTTGCACTGCTTGGATCCATTTGCTTCATATAATAATTTCACCCCACCCTTGAATAGCCTATTCGGGATCCTGGTTGCTCTCTTTTCCCGCAGAAGCTCATAAAAACAAAGTCAGTGGGACACGTTGCAGGCCCAGTGCCACTGCTGTCTGGGGTTCCATCTGGTCATCGCCACCTCCCTTCTTTCTTACCCATTCTGGATTGCTCCCAGCCCCAGCTAGCACCTCTGCTGACATAGCTTGAGCAGTCTGAGCCCCTGGTCACCATGGCCTTTTCAGGCTGAGGCTGCTGTACTTGCTGTTCACCATTAAAACTGCATGGTGGGACAGTAAGAGATGCCCCGGGGAGCCTTGGAATCTGTCTGTATTGTCCCAGCTCCCTGCAGCCTTGCCTCTTCCTTAACATCAGATAAGGAGAGTTTCACTCTGCTGGGAGAGTGAATAGTTTTTTTTTTGCTTACTGGTCTCTTGGCAGTGGTGAGGCTTGAAGTTTAATAGGACTCTTGTTGTGTACTGTTTCAGAAACATTCTGCCTCTGGAAACCATGGCCTCCAGAAACTCAGAGCCTAGAGTGCTGAGGATAGGACGAACACGTGTCCTCAGTGGGTCACTGGGAGTAATGGTAAGCATGGATACTCCTACTTCCAACCCTTAGTTCCTGGACACATGTATTCTACCTCTTGGGGACACAGTACCATGTAATGATCATTAGTTTAAAATGTATACCATGTCCTGAAGGTACCATGCTATCGTGCCCAATCCTAGTAGGGTGTCACCTCCAAGTTGATACCTTTGCTATGTCTTCAACAGACTATTCCATTGATCCACCAGGCTGGCAGCTTCAGGGTGGTGTGGTATATGATAGGACCGGTGGATCTCACGGTCATATGTCCATTGACACACCTTTGTTGTAACATGGGTCCTATGGTCTGTTGTCATGCTGTGGAAGATCCAATGCCGATGGGTCAGGTAGTATGAGAACTCTTGGATGGCAGGGCTAGCTGAGGCACTGCAGGTAGGAAAATCAAACTTCATACTCAAAACGTGTCAAATGAATTGAGCCCTTTCCAGGTTTGGTTTGGAAAGGGTCCAATGTAATCTATTTGCCAAGAGGTGACTGGTTGGTTTCCTCCAGGGATGATGCCAGATTGGGGGCTTGGCACTGGACTCTGTTTAGGCCACTTCTCTTCCCACATAAAGTGGATGACCAGGTGCCACGCCAGGGGCCCTGACCTTCGAGAGGGTTTCCCTGCACTACTCCTTCAAGACCATCCCCGAGTGGAGCTGCAGGGCTGCAGCATTCTGTTTTGGGCTTGCATCCACATACCAAGCTGACATCTGCTAAGGAAGCTCAGGCTTTAGTCTCCTCTGTCAGGTCCTCATGGATGGCCTACCGTGCAGCCAAGGTTAAGCCGAAAGTGGAGTATTGGTGCCACAGGGGTGGATGATGGAGGAGTTGGGGCCATTACTCCTGCAGGGGCAGCTGTTTTCTCTGGTGCTGTTCATGCCTGACCCAGGTTGTATTCCTTCCATCTTACAATAGATTGTTGTTGTACCCACCCAATGTTATGAACCTTACTTCATTTAATGTAAGCCACCAATTTTGCCAAACTTTCAAGAGCTTTCCTAGCAGCATATTAAATCAATATCCCAGGGCCCATACCAGGTGTTAAATCCTGGGTCATGAGAGAGTGTCCCCACACTGACAAAGCCCCCTCTATTCAGCTTTATATTCTACCCTACTTGAGCCATATACCATTTGCAGGCAAATTCTCCCAGTTCTTGCAGGTACATTTCAGCCAGACTGTGCAACGGCTTTGGCATGTTAATCTCTCCCTTCTTTTAGCAGGCCTAGCACTTCCTCCGTTGGGTCATCTTGATATTTGATCCTAGTGATTGATCCGATGGCCAGGAGGAGAGGTGGGGGCAGACTCTGAGGCAGGCTCATGGTGTTTTGGAAGGCACCCCTCCTTTCATGAGGCCTCTGAACAAGGGGGCCAATTCTGCAGGCCCAGAAGCTTCAGGTTAATCTGCAAGTTCAAGGGTCTCAAATCACATTTGCTCAGTCTCTGGGTCCTATTTCCTTCTTATCATGGCCCTGACTTTCGGCAACTTGCCTAGGCTGCGAATTCATCCTTCTGTGAAATTCTTCCACTTTTACAATTAAGACCTGTGCCTGAGCTTAGTCTGCCCCCTGGCTGCAGGAAATAAGGTCTTTAAATGCTGCTCTCTGATTCATACTTTGCTTTAAATTGGTGATTAATTGATCTGAGCCTGTCATTTTTTCTCTAACACATCAGTGGTTCTAAGCAACGACCAGCCATTTCACAATTCTTTTTTTCCTTTCTTTTTTTTTTTTTTTTTTTAAGTGGGGGTCTCGCTGTCACCCAGGCTAACCTTGAACTCCTGGGCTTGAGCAATCCTCCTGCCTCAGCCTCCTGAGTAGCTGGGACTGCAGGCGCACCACTGTGTGCCTGGCTCACAATCCTCATAGTGACCATTTATCTGAACTTCTCACATGTCAGGGACATTTTATAAGCAAATGTATCCCTTTGCCATCTGTTATTCAACTCCAGAATCCCATCCTTAAAATCTGCTTTTGAGGACCACTTCTGGTACCAATTATTTTAGGATTGGTCCCCCAGCTCTAGAGATTGAGATGGCAGTTCTTGTTCAAGTGACGTGGTGAGGAAGTGCCCTGGTGAATTCCTACAAGGGAGGAAGGATGGCACTGAATGGCACTTTAGGAGAGGAGAAGTTATTTCAAAATACGGGTT